TGCGCTGTTGCTGACACTGTAATTTAAACACGGAGTGCCAAAGGGCGAAAACAGGCCATCTCATCATTGAAATAAGTAGGTCACGTGACAATGCTGGAAACGCATAAGTAGGAATTAGCGTGCTCTCTAATTAACCACTCTTTCTATTCTATCGTCCATGACTATACGGTTCACTGTTGTCTATACTATTCACTATTTGTACACTTTTTCTCTATACTGGTCACTATATGATGGTTACTTTTCGAGCATGTACTATTAATGTGAGTTATATTCGAAGGCATCTGACACCAGCATTGTTCAACGGTGTTTTTTTTGTTGCATCTGCGATTACAATGTCTCTACTACAACGAGCATTACAAAAGTTACAATGAGTATTCGTTGACATTACAAAAATGGCAACGAATGTTCGTTGACATCACAAAAATGGCAAGAAGGATTCGCAAGGATTCCTTCATATTACACGCGGATTCTTTCAAGTTACACGAGGATTCATTAATATTCAGCAGAGTACAGCAAAATAGAAAAATTAGAAGCTATCCGGATTCAGTAAGAACAACAGATGCAGCAGCAAAAAGTACAAGAACAACAATTGCAGCAACAAAAACATGAACAGCAATTTTAATTACAACTACAACAACAGAAGTTTTTTAAGTTGTTTACCAAAACGATGGATGGAAGACCTTCTGATTCATGCACCTCACATGCTGTTGCTAATTCAATCTGCGAATTTGTGTACAATCCAGATTAAAGGATAACATTTCCAGCTTTATAGAAGATACGAATGGATCTTCAAAAGGGATTGTTCGTATTGGAATGATGAAAAATTCGGTTATTATCAAGGAAATTGCCCCCTGCTGGGCATGAAAATATGTGAATTATATTTTACAGAAAAAAACAGGAGAGATAAATTTTGATGAGACTGTTCTAATAATATCAAAAATAGGAGTTCATTATTTAATAAACGATGGCAATGTCTTAAATTAGTAAAGTTCGACGTTGAAGATTTTGTCACTTATGCAGGAGTCATGAATTGAGAATGTGAAAAGTTCAAGTTAAATGAACTTCGGATCTATTTAAATGCCTGATATTCGTACAGGGTTTAACTTCTAATAAGGATGCCAGGATATTTGCTGAAAGGGACCCAAAATTAACTCTCCATAAAATAGCAGAACAGTGTTAACGTTTTGTGAATTTGAAACTCGATACCGCAAGGACTGAGCAAAAAGACAATTCATAATACATAGTGTTCGACCATCTAAGAGAAAAAAAACTACAAACGTTTTCCAACTCCTAACAAAACAGTGAAAAAGACTATAAATCCCGCTCAGTACCTAAGATTTGTCACGGTTGTGGAGGTAAGAATTTTAAAAATGATTGTTTCTTCAAGAACAAAAAATTCTACGAATATGGGAGATTAGGACACAAAAGTACGTGTTCTAGATAAAAAAAATTGAGAAAAAGCTGTAACAAAAAGTGGTGGTGTTTGTATTAGGGAATCCTGCTAATTTATTTGGAACAGACTGGATTGCATTAGTTGATTTTGGGGGCCTTCCAATTAACTCTTTTTGCAACAAATTAAATATTGTTACCTCCGATACTAATACGGCAACTGGGAAAGTGAAAAATGAACTGAAAAAGTTTCATAACTGTACGCAGTGCATTTCTGTATAAAAATCCATTTCATATGGTGATGAATGAGTTTGATTCCAGTAAATGAGTCCAGTGTAAGTATATATGTGTAGCTATTTTCAGTACACTACAAGGTGCAGTGTATTACAGATTATGGAAGTAGACAGAAACTCAGACTGGAAGGAAATGTCCATTTTCATGACAGGAATCTCAAAAGCACATAATGCCTCATAACGGCATTCATTCAAACTGATTTGTTCTATTATAAAAAAAATATTGCTCAATAATAATAATAATAATAATTTGCGACTACTCGTCCTCACATTGACTGCTGACCTGAGATGGAACAAATACATTGAGTCAATAGCTTCGTCCACCCTAAGGAAATTTTTCTCGCCGGATTCGATCCTTCAAATCTACAAATCAACCATTCGCCCTTGCATGGAGTATTGCTGCCATATATGATCTGGTTCCCCTTCTGTTTGTCTCAAGGTTCTTGATAAGATCCAGAGACGGATATGCAACGTAATCGGCTCTGATCTGGCATCTCGTCTGCAGTCGTTCTCTCACAGACGTGCTGTCACCTCCCACTGTCTTTTATACAAATACTTACATGGTAACTGCTCCGAGGAGCTGCTTTCACTGGTTCCCAAACTTCATGAATTTATGCATTCTACTAGGCTGGCATCTCACTCACAACCTTTCACTTATGAAACTGTTAAATGTAGCCGTCACTTCTGCTCCAATACCTTCATATCTCGCACCTCTCGCCTGTGGAACTCCCTCTCTTTTTCTTGTTCCCTGATAGCTATAATCTCCAACTATTCAAATGTAATATCAATCGATGTCTCCAGATGCCCTGATCTATCACCTATCCTTCTCTTCATCCTTTTCTCTATCACTCCTATTTGCTCTAGCTCCAACTCTCTGTAACCTCTTGCGTGCTAGTGGCTTCTCGCCTTGCTTGCGGTGAAACGCTTATAAAAAAAATCATATATTTATTTCATTTTTGGCTTATTCTCACAGGATTCCTGGCTCACCTTCTCCCACTATCATTGGCATTTCAATAGACATCTACTTCTTGTCATACACTTCTCCAGAGACTACACGTCAGTGTATTTTCTTGAATGTCTCGCTTCCGAAAGGAACCAAAGACATTATGTTTTCTACGTGCTGAAGCTGAATCACAAAAAAATAATAATAAAAATTAATGGGCGCACATATTTTATCAGTATTATAATAATAAAAAGATAAAATAAGAGTACAAATTCAAATGAAATTAATAAATAAATCGCATTAATTCTATGCAGCCATATTCCCAATAGCCGTTCCACATGACATCACGCTAGAAAAAAGAATGTTGTAACAAAGCTGGAAATGGCTCAACTATACCAAATACTACACCAAATGAAAGACAATCTAAACAAAACTCAACGTTCTATGGAGCAGCAGAATGTGGAAATATTTTGGCAGGTCAACTCTAACAGAAAATCTACGAGATATAAAGCTTTCCAATACACAACGAGAAGCCCTCTGGTTCTTTCTAAAATTTCCACCGGAATACGCAAATGATACATGGTAGGCACTAGAATAAAACTTCATATGTAAAATAACTCCGATTTCACCTAAGGTTCATGTAAAGCATTCGTTGCTACTATACAAACCATCAATGAAATACGTAACTACAGAAGCACATAAATGCGTTAAAGAACTTAGGGATATATATGTAATTTATAAATTAAAGGATTTAAAGCATGGTTTCTTCGCTACACAATAATAACCATGTTTCAAAAACTGAAGCTAAAACTCCCCTATCCTTCCTAAACTTAACGTCTTTTTCGAACGTAACTCATAATTGACACAACAATAGTTAATAAAAATGAACACGTTACCGCCCCTGTCTGAATGATTGGATTTCCCTGTATCCTCGGAAAGAGGAAATTATGAATTTATATGTGCGTTTAAAACACAGTAAATTTAAAAAATAATTTATTCCAAAATTCGCTTAAAGTTGAAATAGAACCAATACTTTTAATTTAATTATATAATTAAATTTGAAGTTTATAGCTATAGCTTTTGAAACATGGTTATTACTGTGTAGCGAAGAAACCATATTTTAAATCATTTAATTTATAACAGTTATGCTCTGTAAATTTACATTGAGTACAGTTTTGTAAAAATCTCAATAGGAACACCGAATTATATATCTGACTGTTCTTTCTTTTTATATATATATATATATATATATATATATATATATATATATATATATATATGTAATATTTTAAAATAAATATATTTTAAACTCAACTAGGAATCAAAATATATTGTTCATTTTACTATGTATTGTTGGTCACTTTTTTCATCTGTAAAATTGTATTGCTGCTATTTTATACATTTCTACATTCATAGTTCTGATTGTTTTTTTTTTGTGGGGTTCACTATTTGCCTATAAGTTAGACCATAAAAGTTGCTACCACAACAGGTCAGAGTGGACCTGGGAACAACAACAATTAAGTCATTGTTCGACACACCTCAGAACCTCCAATCTCTCTATCAGGGGCATAGCTGTCGGATGTAGTCTATCATCATATCAATGCCAGCATATATATATATATATATATATATATATATATATATATATATATATATATATATATATATTGGTAGATATTAATCAAGTGGAGACATGCCAATAATTGACCAAATTTAAACTCTAGAGTTCGAATTGCTCTATTTGGGAACACCGTGATGTTATTAAATCTTTTCTTACAAGATTCCCATCATCATGGGCGAATGAACTCAAGATATTTCATACGTTATGCCTCTAGTCTAAAATACACCTTCATTCTGAAAGAAGCATATTAATATTAAATCTTGTTCTCCCACAGACGTCCTCTCCATTATTTCCTTTCTAATAGGCACAGAAAGGTTTACACCGACCTGCTTTATTCAATATAAGTTTCATATAACATTACGTTAAAAACGTTGAAATGACATTATTTACATTATTCGGACTATTGTCCTCATATTTGTCGCCATATTTATTACAAAGTTTGGGCCCTTGTACGCTCCGGCCTTCTTCAGGTGGTTGGAATGTTGAAGTGAACCCTTTATTTCGTTCACTGGGGTAGACTATTCTAGTTCAACGAGCCATGTTTTAATTGATGTCAGTTATCAGTTACCTCCTGTTGATTTCCCTCTGAAAGTTCTCCACTGCCTTAGACGGGTATTGAACTAACACTCTTTGGGCCCTGTCACTGGATCTAACTAACACCTTTATCCACTATGCCATGTGTCTTTGAAGTAAATATAGCCAGATACGTTGAAATGAGTTTTCTCAATTCGTACGCGCTTTTCCTTAGACCGTCATGAGACGAATTTTATGGCGAATTCTTTTGTGCCTCTCGTGTCTATTTCGCCGTGAAAATAATGGCGCTTCTCAGGTTACCCGGTATGGTTAACATTTTTTTTTCTTTGGACAGTGTTATTTGTTCCGCTCCACGATATCCTGATTTCTCTATCATATTTGAAAAAAGAAAAAGGACAACTGAAGCAAAGATAAAAGAAGAGGAAAACGATGACAGGCTGAGATTGTAAATTTCGCGCTTATTATTTGCCGGGAATCTATAAATCGACGATAGGTTGAAGGGGAACCGTCGCTGCATTTGGGGTCAGAATTAATGTAAATTGATTATTTTCCACACGGGTTCCTTCTGTAATTTCTTCTATATTTCTTTCTTATTCCATTCTGTATATTATGCTCGACATCTTTCTTTCTGTTTTGTTTTCTTTGTTTATGGCATTCTTTCTTCTATTATTTTTTATGTTTATCTTTCTCACTTTCCTATCATTTCCTTCTTTTTTATTTTGTTTCATTTTCGTTCTTATTTTTAAATAAGTTTATTTCTCTCTTTCATCCCATTTTATTACACATTTTTCCGTTCTCTCTCTCTCTTTCTTTCCTTTTTTCTTTCTTTTGCTTTCCTGTCTTTCTTTCTTCTTATTAATCCTTTCTCATCTATCTTTACATTGTTGTTTATTATTATTATTTCGTCTTTATCTTTCTTTCTTTCTTTCTTTCTTTCTTTCTTTCTTTCTTTCTTTCTTTCTTTCTTCAAATCTCTCCCCTTCATACTTTCTTTACCTCTCATATACCGCGTTTCTTAATTCTTTCTTTCTTTTTCTTTCTTTCTTTTTTTCTTTCGTTCTTTCTTTGCCTTTCTGTCTTCTGTTCTTTCTTTCTATCTTTCTTTCTTTCTTTTTTATCCTTTCTCATCTATCTTTCCATTTTTGTTATATTATTACTGGAATTTATTCCGTAAATAATATTCTTTTTTTTTATTTTTGTAATCTTTCTTCAGATTTCTATTTCTTTTCTGTCTTACTTTTTTACTCTCTCTTTTTTACGCACTTCCAGACATTCTGCCGCTGGAAATTCTGCCATTTTTAGATACCCGTTAATTTGCCCTTGTGATTTCCTCAGGTTTTTAGGTTTTCTCTTCTCTTTTTAATTTCGCTTCTTTTATCTTTCAATGAATTTTTTTTTTCATTCAGTCTATTCCTCAATCGGCTCATTTTTGTTTTTCTTTTCTTTGTTTGTTCTTCTTTTGTCACTTTCTTTCTTTTGTTATTTGCTTTTTTTGTTTTTGTTTTTTTAGCATTTCTTTTATCTTTCTTTTATATACACAACATTTTTTTATTTCCTTTATCCTGATTTTTTTTGCATTTAGCTTACTCTTCTAATTTAATTTCTTAAACTTTTTCCATTCCCTGTCCATTTATTATTCTTCTGTTTTTTCTATCTTTTTTTCTTTGCTTTCTTTCAGGTGCCTATTCATCTCATTTCTTCATTAAGTTCATTGGATTTCTTGCTTTCTTTCTTTTTATCTTTCTGTCATTCTTTCTTTCTTTCGTTCTTTCTTTCTTTCTTTCTTTCTTTCTTTCTTTCTTTCTTTCTTTCTTTCTTCAAATCTCTCCCCTTCATACATTCTTTACCTCTCATTTACCGTGTTTCTTAATTTTTTCTTTTTGCTTTTTTCTCGCTTTCCTTCTTTTTATCTTTCTTTCTTTTTATCTTTCGTTCTTTCTTTCATTCTTTCTTCTTTCTTTCTTCAAATCTCACCACTTCATAAATTTCTTTACCTCTTTTACCGTTTTTCTTAATTCTTTTTCTTTTTTCTTTCTTTTTTTCTTTCTTTTTAATTTTCTTTCTTTCTTCTATTCATTCATTCTTTCTTTCTTTCTTTCTTTCTTTCTTTCTTTCTTTCAAATCTCTCCCCCTTCATAATTTTTTTACCTCTTTTAACACGTTTCTTAATTCTTTTGTCTTTTTCTTTCTTTTTTCTTGCTTTCTTTCTTTTTATCTTTCTTTCTTTCTTTCTTTCTTTCTTTCTTTCTTCAAATGTCACCTCTTCATACGTTCTTTACCTCTCATTTACCGCGTTTCTTAATTTTTGTTTGTTTTTGTTTGTTTGTTTGTTTCATTCTTTCTTTCTTTCCTTCTTTCTTTCTTTCTTTCTTCAAGACTCTCCCCTTCATACTTTATTTACCTCTTATTTACCGCCTTAATTCTTTTTTCTTTCTTTTTTCTTGGTTTCTTCCTTTTTATCTTTCTTTCTTTCTTCTTTCTTTCTTTCTTTCTTTCTTTAAATCTCTCCCCTTCATATGTTCTTTACCTCTCATTTACCGTATTTCTTATTTCTTTATTCTTTCTTTCTTTCTTTCTTTTTGTCTTTCTTTCTTTCTTTCTTCCTTTCTTTCTTTCTTTCTTTCTTTTTGTCTTTCTTTCACTATCCTTTACAATATTCCTTTCTTTTTTAAACACACTTTAGCTTATTTCTTTAAATCTCCTTTGCGTTATTTTCTTTTCTTACTTTCTTTTTGATTTCTGATTTAAGAGGCCTCCGAACACTCAGCTCCTAGACAAATGAACATACATCCAAATTAAAAACGAACCAGAGAATCCAAATAGGATGATGCATGTTCTTTATTCTACATCATTGCTCTATTCATCCTTCGAGCAAAACATCGATGCTAAACAGAATGTATTGCCAGCTTATTTGGAACCATATTATCGCCACAGAAAATAGGAAAACCTCCTTCTCCTATTTCCATCACCTGTCGCTTTTATAGACAAAAGAATCCTTATTCTAATATTGGTGCTATACTTTAAGCAGGTATAAATATTTATTCGCAAAGCCAAGGTCATTCAATGTGTTTCAATTCACAAGTTTAATGCATCAGCGGTATTCTTCGAATGAATGGTTTTTGCGATTATGTTGGACAGCACCAAATTCCTTCGAATTAATTGGAAGTGAATTTGTCACCGGATTTTATTCATGCATCATTTACTTTAAGATACTGGGTCAGGATAAGGTGAAAGGATGAATTGTCAAGGAAAAAAAATTACTAATAATAATGAAAGGAAAAGAAAAGAAAAATAGGAACACATAATGAAGGAAGAAGGTTTGAAATAATCAATACTCACAGGACTCATTAGATGCAATCGAAGTAAGGACCCACTTCTTCTTGACCAGTTTGAACAAACGGGTAAACTACAGAGGGTTTTTAACGGAAAACATATTTAAAGCGACAGAAGACATACATTTCTGTTTGAATTTCTAGGATAAGCATTTTTTTTAATCGTTTCACCCCGAGCAAGGCGAGAAGCCACTAGGACGCAAGGGGTTACAGAAAATTTGGAGCAAGATCAGATAGGAGTGATAGAGGAAAGGATGAGGAGAAGTATAGTGGATAGATCAAGGTAACTGGAGATGTCGATTGACATTACATTTGAATCGCTGGAGATTATAACTATCAGGGAAACTGGAATAGGGAAGGGAGTTCCACAGGCGAGAGGTGTGCGACATGAAGCTATTGGAGTAGAAGAGATGGCTACATTTATGAGTTTCGACAGTGAAAGGGTGAGAGAGGGATGCCAGCCTCCTAGGGCGCTTGAACTCATGAAGTCTGGGAACCAGCGAATGCAGCTCCTCGGAGCAATGGCCATGAAAGTATTTGTAAAAAAGACAAAGAGAGGCGACGGCCCGTCTGTGAGAGAGTGACTGTAGACGAGATGCCAGAATAGGGCCAATTATATTGCATATCCGCCTCTGGAGCCTATCAAGAACCCCGAGACAAACAGAGCGGGCTGCAGACCATATATGGCAGCAATACTCCACGCAAAGGCGAATTGTTGATTTGTAAATCTGGAGGCTCGATTCCGGGGAGAAAACTTTCCTGGCACGGCACTGGGAGACAACTTTCTTTGCGGTGTATGAAGCAATTGACTCAATGTATTTGTTCCATCTCAGGTCAGCAGACAAGGTGCTCTCGAGAAGTTGAGCGTCAGACATTCTAATGGAGGGCAGGGAAGGATCTCTGTGGTGATTAATAGAGAGCAGTTTTGTTTTTGAGGCATTAAAGCTGACCAGCCATTTCCTGCCCCAGTTCACTACCGATTGGAGGTCCTTTTCGAGACGCACGGCCAGGTTAATTTTGTCAGTGACACTAGATTTGTTTTTGAGGCAGGAGTAAATTGTGGTGTCATTCGCGTAGATGCCAACTTGGGAATTTATGGCGTCAGGAAGGTCATTTATGTAGATAAGGAATAGAATGGGGCCTAGGATGGAGCCTTGAGGAACACCTGCGTTTGTGGGATAGGAACTGGAGGAGAATCCGTTGAGAAGGACCTTCAATTCACAGTTTGAAAGGAATGATTGTATTAGGTCAAACAATCGACACGTAATGCCATATCCCTGGAGCTTGCGAAGAAGGTCGGCATGCCAAACCCTATCAAACGATTTGGAGATGTCTAGGGCCACGGCACGAGCTTCCCCGTTATTTTGAAGAGCTTGCTAGACAGTTTCAGTGATAGCCGTAAGCACATCAGCTGTAGATCGGGCAAAGCGGAAGCCATATTGCTTGTCTGAGAGCAGATCATGGGATGTAAGGTGGTTAAACACTTCAGTATTGATTAGGGCTTCGAAGACTTTGCCGAAGAGGGGTAGGAGACTGATAGGACGGCAGTTAGAAGGGTCAGAGGGGTCGCCAGAGTTCTTGAAGACAGGAACAATCGAAGAGGACTTCCAGCAGTCAGGAAAACAAGATTTCTTGAGGCAGTAGTTATATAGTTTAGAGAGGGCGAGCGCCAGTTCAGGCGCGCATTTCTTCAAGACAATGGCTGGTATCCCATCCCCACAACTAGCCTTGTTGGGGTCTAAACTGGAGATAATGCCCAATACCAAAGACGGGGTTATGTGTAACTCACTCAATAGGGCCTCAGTTCTAAGAGAGAAGTCGGGTATGGGTACACCGGAAGAGTCGAGTGTTGCGTTGAATGAAAATTTCCGAGCAAAGCATTCAGCCTTGTCGGCAGAGGAGGTCAGGACTTCGAACTGGTTGAATAAAGGAGGTATAGAGGGTTTTCAATTGTTCAATACGCTCTTGCAGAGACGCCAATAATCTTTGGAGCCAAATTTGCGAAATGCAATACCCTCCTTCATCCAAGCAGCAAATAGTGACTTAGCATCGTTGAGGGCACGCTTACACTCGTTACGGGCGGTGGTAATTTACACTATTTATATTAGGTATATATTGATCTGAGTAACCTACAGGGAATTATGAACAAAATACTTTTTTAATCAACGGTTGTAGATTACTCTCACCCCACTGCCCGCGTCTAAAGATATATCTAGTTCTTATCTATCCATATATTTATAGTACTGTTCCGTCATTACCCGTCCGTTTCTACTGAGTCCACTGGCCAGCCCAGGGACTGAACTTACAATTATTAAAGAAATATCCCTAGAAATATGCAGTGGTACGATAACACTGTATACAAGTAAATTAAATACAGGTGACAGTTCAGTATTCCCCGTAGGTTACTCGGATTGATATACAGCTGATGAAACCCTGAGGGTACATAGGCCGAAATTATTGTGATAACAAAGAGAAAGATAAGGACAATAGACCGAATAACAATATTATAAATTTAAATAAGTTTTTTGTGGTACAAAATTTAATAATAGATAGGAAAAGACAAAAGTTATAAGGCATTTTTTATAAAAGAAAAAGTTAAGAAAAAACAACCCATTGGATTCGAGAATAAAACAACATTTACACCCCAAGATTTTGAATCCGGCTGCCATGAAGAGCCAACTAACCAATACTTCTGGCTCTGCTATTGCTGAACATGTAATAAATAGCAGGAAGTGTCTAGTTAATTTTAGCGTGGACCGTTTTTTGATTTTATCTAGGGCCCACTCCACATTTCACTTCAAGGTTCTAGAGTCATTGTATATCAGATCCCGTGGGCCTTCCCTTTGTAAACAGAGGGAATGCTTACTGGGTCTGAATGTTATTGGACTCTAGTTTCTTGAAATTCATTTTTTTCTCTTCCATTCCTTTCCATTCGTTAATTTAATAATTTAATAGCTTTTAGAATTTTTCTATTTCCAGAAAAATAAACTTGATAAGTCCTGGGAAGAAACCGGTTGTTTTTTTTTTTTTAGCTTTTTCTTTTACAAAAAATGCCTTATAAATTTTATCTTTTCCTATGTATTAATAATATAAATATAACAAGTGCAAATAAAAGGCATGAAGTTTTCGAAAACCATAATTGCCAGGATTCTGAAAGGGCGTAGCACATTATCAACATCAGTAAGTAAACTGTCGGTAGGACGTTAAGGGCGAAAGAAACAGACAGCCTGCTTCAGAATGATCCGTTGGCAGTGACTTTCAAGAATTCTTGCATTCTCATGTCCGTCTATCCTTTGATGATGTCTGATGCTGCCGATCCTGCTTACGTCCGCCATCAACATTGATTGGCATAATGCAGAGCCTGTTGTTCCGTGTGACGTAGCCAAACGAGGGCGTCTTCCGACGCTTAGTGGTGCCGACAGTTCACAAGATATTTGACTTTGCTCCCTACATAGTCATTTGGTCCCAGTAAGAGATGCGGCGGAGCTTTCTCAAGCATTTCTTCTCAAACGACTGAATAATTTTTCCTGAAAAAACCAAGAATATTCTAGTCGCACACCAGCAGAGGAGGATAGATACAGCTTGAACTTGGCATGACATTTAGCATTTCCATATTCTTTCCACTCTGGCCATCGCTGCTGTCGCTGTGACGATCTGTGTGCAGATGACTTCGTTGCAGATGTCATCGTTTGACAGGGTTGGTCCCAAATATTGGGAGGATCTGGACATTTCCTCCGGTAATTTCCAGTTCATTGCAACGCTGGCAATGGTGTTGCTTGTACTGTTCCCCATTACTTTGGATTCCTC